TCCCAGAACCATATCGTAAAACAAGAACATGAGGAGCGGTACAATCACGCCTTCGCCTTGCCACGGTCTCCTGAAGTACCTGAAAAACATTAAACCACAACTGTAAGCCCGAAAGCTTAGTGAGATACCCCCAAAATACCAACCACATATACCATACACGTAACATATCATACAGAACAGAACAACCATGCATATCGAGTCTACAGTGTGACTGGTCCACCTGCACCAGGCCTTCAGTCCACCCGGTCCACTCTCTCTATCTGATTCTACAGTGTGACGGGTCCACCCGCACCGGGCCTTCAGTCCACCTGGTCCACTCTCTGAGTCTACAATATGACTGGTCCGCCCTCATCAGGACTTCAGTCTGTCTGGTCCACTCTCCAAACCACGACACGTCTGGTTTGCCCTCGTGGGGCCTTCAGCCTATCCGGACCGCTCGCTAGGCCTTCCGTCTAACAGGTCCGCCCTGGGTATGTTGGCCTACAGCACAAAGTAGGACTCGCCTCAACCCAACCCAGTCCAACAACCATGTGCACATAAACATATAACATATAACCATTCACAACTAATCAACCGATCTAACAGATCACATAGCATAGCAACATCCTAACCAGGATACCGACCTAACCGGTTAGTAACATATACCATCCTATATACCACGATACCAACCTTAGCCAGATCTATAACATATACCATCCTAATTACCAGGATATCAACATAGCAAAGTAATAACATATCACGACTACTACCCGGATTACAATCCGATAAAGGGTCGGCCTTGGTGCCTTAGACCTTATCGATATATTGAGGATAACTTACCTCGCAACTGCTGATTGGAAAGATAAGATCACGCTACTCCAACCTCCGACACGAACTCCACCACTGATCAATACCAAATGACTGAACTCAATAAATACCAATAATTACCAAAATACCCTTGGAAGTCAACTGGTCAACTCTTGGTCGAAGTCAAAGTCCTCAGTCAAAGTCAAACTTCCTGACTGACTGTACTCACCGAGTCAGCCCGCTGACTCATCGAGTCCCTAGTCCGTGAACACTCCCATATCGCGACCCAACTCGTCGATTCGTCCCAAGACTCACCGAGTCCCACAAACTCTGAGTCGCCTCCTGCTCAACTCACCGAGTCGTCCCTCGACTCACCGATTTACAGCTCAACCAAAAAGGTTTGGATTCCACGACCAGACTCGCCATTCCAAGAACAGACTCGTCGAGTCCAAGGCAATCTTCAACGAACTCGCTGGGTTGTTCTTCCAACTTGCCGAGTTCTTGCCTATCTTCATCCAACTCGCCGAGTACACCCATGTGACTCGCTGAGTACCTCTAGTTCTTAACCCATGCAGTGGCTTTTTAAGCCATTCTGGAGCTCCAATCCATAGATCTACCCTTCCACGAGTTATTCCTCACGTAAAGTTGCAAACTTTACGTGAATCCAAAGAGATCTAAGCATAAAACACTCTTGCGCTAGGGTTTGGGACAAGAAGGCTTCACTAACAACTCTTGGGCATGAACTTTATGGCTTCCTGGACCATTACAATCCTATATCTGAGGTAGCAACCTCAGATCTTACACCAAACTCGAGATGGACCTCATTTATGCTCCAAAAAACCCACAATTGATAAATCTAGATGCACAAAAGCTCAAGAACAAATCTCTTACCTCCAATGCAAGCTCTCAATGGAGAATGAACCAAATCTCTGCAAAGCCCCTTGCTCCAAATCTTCTTGCTCTTCAATTCCCCTCCAAGATTTCCTCCTCCAAGGCTCTAATTACTCACAAAGGAAAGCTCACACGAATCTATGTCTTCTGGAACTCAAAGGGAAGGTAAAGAGGCTGGGGAAGAGGTGTTAGGCTCTTTATATAGAGCACAACCCCGAAAATTAGGGTTCTCTCCACCCAGCACCAACTCGCCGAGTCACTCCTCCAACTCGCCGAGTTGGTCACTTAACACATGACTAGATTTGCAACCCGACTCGCCGAGTCTATCCATTGACTCGCCGAGTCGGTCTTCCATATTTACACAAGCACCCTGAACTTTGCTCTTCTGAACTCGGGGTGTTACACAAAAGAGATTGGGTTCTGCGACCAGACTCGCCGAGTCTAAGAACAGACTTGTCGAGTTCCAAGGAAATCTTCAACAGACCCGCCAAGTTGTTCTTCCAACTCATCGAGTCCATGCACATGTTCATACAACTCGTCGAGTACACCCATGTGACTCGCCGAGTCTCTCCAGTTCTCAACCCATTCAGAAGCTATTCGAGCCATGCAGAGGCTCAAATCCATAGATCCCCCCTTCTACAATCTAACCCTCAGATAAAGTTGCAAACTTTACGTGAACCCATGGAGATTTAGACCCAAAACACACTAGGGCTTGGGTTTTGGACAAAGGGGCTTCACCAACATCTCAATGGCTGAAACTTTATGACATTATGGACCATCACAAGCCTAGATCTGAAGTAGCAACCTCAGATCTAAGCGTCTAACTCGAAATAGCTCTTAATCATACCAAAAGTGCCCCAAATTTCAAATGATAATAGATCTAGATACCAAAGAGCCCAAGCAACAAATTATTACCTCCAATATATGCTCCACTAAAGTAGATCCCGGATCTACACCACTCCTTTGCAGCAAGCCTTTAATTCCTCAAGCTCTTTCCCACCAATTTCCTCTTCCAAGCTCCAATCTCCTCAAAAATGAAGTCTCACACGAAAGTTAGGGTTTCTGGAACTCTCAGGGGGATTAGGAGGCTGGGAGAAGGACATAAAGTCCTTTAAATAGGGTGCAAACCCTAAGATTAGGGTTTTCTCATTCCAGCACCAACTCATCGAGTCCAGCTTCCGACTCTGCGAGTTGGTCACTTGATTCGCGATCCAAACCCGCTCTGACTCGGCGAGTAAGCGTACCTACTCGTCGAGTCCCTTCCTTTATTTACACTTAGCACCCTTCACTTCTTGTTCCGAACTTAGGATGTTACAATTTTACCCTCAGACAATATGTTTTATAATAATTCATTTATGATTTACCATTTAACTTATAACATTACATTTTTTTATAAAAACATTCAACCCACTGTAAAAAGTAAAGAAATTAAAGATTTAAAACTTGATAAACATTGTTGAAGGATCACATGGAAATGATTGAAAAGTTAGTCATCCAAGGGTCCCATTTATTATACATGTAAAATTTATCATCAAGTCTAACAGAATCAACCCTGGTAAATGTTAATGATGTTTGATACTTCAAATCTCTAGCAATTGTATATGTAGAAATCTCTAGCATCCTTCATCATCCATCGAAATAGAAGAAGAATATTGTTTTTTTTTAGAAAGGAAACTTCCCTAATGAGGGTTTCCGGGCCAGCTTTCACGTACTGACTAATCTCCCGCTGCGAACATGAAGCTTTGCCTCATGCCCTGGAGTCACTGCAGGCAAAACTCCATGGCCACAAAGGCAAGAAGAATATTGTTTACGCTGATGGATTTGCTTTTTTAGTTGCAGCCTATGATTACATCATTCAAATATATTAGGCATCAAAAGTAAAATTCAATTATTCTTTTTCGTAGCAAAAATAGGACATTACCTATATTGATGAAGCTTTTCTAATTGATGAGAGTTTGGGGGTGTTTGGGGTATCTTTTCAAAGGGCAAAAGAACTTTTGGGAAAAGTTCCAAAAAGCCAGGTTTCTGACTTTTCCGAAAAGTCAGTTTTTCTTCTATAAAAAATCCATAAGGAGCTTTTACCAAACATCTTTTCTTTTTTGCCCTCTCAAAAGATATCCCAAACACCCCCTTCAATTCACTAGCATTTTCAATGAGATCATTTGATATTGAAATAAGAATATCCCTCATATCTTGCAAATGGGTTGCAGCTTCTGGGCAAGTTCCTAACCGAAACAATTTTGGAAGTTGCATGCCTTAAAAAACCATGACTAGGGTGATACAATCCATATAATAATGTGAGATTTGTTTATATAATGTTTGAAATTACATAAGCCCACAGTCCACATCCAATTCTGTAGGTAAACTTATGACCTCACATGCTACAATACTATTATTTGTAGCTGGGGTGAAGGGTGGAGAATTTGAGATTAATTGATGTATTGTGCAAGATGATTGGAAGTGTTTGATGCACATCCAAATTCAGCAATGAAGATAACCCCCGTATTTCTGCATTCCGGTTCCTTGTATATAACTATATATTTCATAACTCCAATTGAGATGACAAAAACACACAAATACTAACAAATGTCTACAATAGGAAATCGAAATTAACATATGAAAGGAATGCAATCTAATTTCAGCATAAAGGTAATATTTCTTTCAACATCTCATTTCAGAAAATAAGCAAAACCAATCTGATTTCAATCGAGCACCTGGTATGAATTTCATTAAATGCCAAGTACATATTTCCAGTTTACAAACCACTAGAATCATAGAAATTAGGAGTGCATAAAAAACGCAGAAAGAAGAATGAAAAAAAACAAAAACATTGCAATAAGAGAAAAACTTACCAAAGAAATTGATGGTTTTCTTTTCTGTAAAGATGATAAAAAAAATCGTCAATTAAAGGTGAGAATCGATTGAAGGTTAATAGGGTTTAACGCTGAGCAACAACCAAAGAAGTTAATTTAAGGTTTTCATAGGTTTCGAGTTCCTTTACAAACCTCATTTGGTAAATAACTTCTCCATGGATATTTCTTATATGGAACTTTCCTTCCATGTTCTCATTGACATACATTTCTTGCTAGAATTTAAAGTCAAACAAGTTGACAGGTTCACTACCAATTCACCTTAGGATTGATGTAACGCATAACATCAGACAAATGCAGACTCTGCCACAAGCAAGAAGAGGGTATGACCTGTGTCATGTGGGGGAACGCACAAATGGGGAAATTGTTCTCGCTTACAATGTTTTTATCTCTACCACCAACGTAAAAAAAAAAACACAGATGATTTTGATGTTACGCCATTTTGGTGCAAGTAGGAGAAGGCATGAAGGAGAAGAACTGCAAAAGCATAGGTGACAGAATGAAGGCGTAGGTTGAGGGAAGACAAGAAGGTCATGGTCAATTTTTTTAATTAACTTAATTTTAAATATGAAATACACTTATTTGGTAAATAATTTAAATACACTGCTTTTTAACAAAATGGACAAAATATCATAAGACAATCAAGCATTTTAAGCATATCATCACCTTCCAATGGAATATAAAAGTCAACTAAAAGTATATAACAAACAGAACCAAAAAAAACTCAGGCAGCTCATGTTTTACAAATTTGATTTTGTGAAGAATAAGAAAATTCTTAGACTATTGCATTTGCTGCACTAGCAATTCTTGGCCACAGATCAGCACATTCTTTCCCAATCGGTCCAGTGATTGCAGACCCTAAAAAATCAACCACCATCAACAACATAACTTGTAAGGGTATAATGATAAGTAAAACAAACTTTTCACCATTAATCAATAAACCAATCAAAATATGCCATGTACCTTTCATTTCTCCTTTTGGGTTGACAATAACGCCAGCATTATCTGTTACCATATAAAAGATATACCATATTAGGAACGCCATAGTTTTAATAAGATGATTTAAAACATAAAGTGTACAATGTCTTCGTTAGAATGGAGGCAAATGTAGCAATCAGATGTAGCAGTTGCAAGCTTAAAAAGAACAACAACTGTAACGATTGATCACAGATTGATTTTCCAGACGTGTAACAATATCATCCAATCAAAATGAGAAGATATTTGACTAGTCTGGATATATTTCCATTCACTAACATTATAAGAGTAAACCGGTCAAATAACATTTTCACTATTTACCATAGACAAATACATCCCAAAGAAAACAGAAAAGAAAATTGAAGTTTAGTTAATGTCAAGTCTACATGGAGCAGATGAGTGCTTAATTAGCATAAGAACATCTGTAACGATAGATTTAGTTTATATTCCAGACGTGTAACAGTATCACACAATCAAAATGAAAAGATACATGACTAGTCTGGTTACATTTTCAGAGAGATCTTTTTTTAAAAGAAGAGGCATGTCCCAATCTTGAGAGATCACCGAAGTAGGGTCAAAAACCAAACAAAAATCATGCAAATGTAATGGAAGGATTCAGAGGAATACGAAAGTTAACGAGTAATACCTTCAAAGTACATGAAGACGCCATCCTTTCGGCGCCATGGCTTGCGTTGTCTGACGATTACAGCAGGCATCACTTTCTTACGAAGATCAGGTTTTCCTTTCTTCACAGTAGCCATCACCATATCTCCAACACATGCTGAAGGCAACCGATTCAAACGTCCCTTGATTCCCTTTACGGATATTATGTAAAGGTTCTTTGCTCCGGTGTTATCAGCACAGTTCACCGTCGCCGCCACTGGCAGACCCAGTGACATTCGAAATTTGTTACCCGCAGAACCTCCCCTTCCTGCATACAATGCACATTGAAAAATCAAACCATTGAAGGTAGGAAACGAATAGAAACAAGGATCATAAATCAATTGGAAACACTTGTAATGAAATTTATGCATATAAACTAAAATACTCTTCTGATCATTTACCTCGCTTCGACATCTTTATGAAAGGATGATCAATTAGGGTTTAGAGTTGGACGTGTATATTTATAGTAGCTTGCTCTGAAGCTAGGGTTTCAGTCAGATTCAGTATTGGGCTAATGCATTCAAATTGGCCCAGTTAAAATTATGGGCTCTAAGTAGTTAGCCTAAGTGTGTGTTTTTACAATAACTGACTTATAAATTTTTGGTTATTAATATTGAAAATATATTTTATTGGAATGCCCCGGAAAAGCTTAAATTTTTGGTTATTAATATTGAAAATATATTTTATTGGAATGCTCCGGAAAAGCTAAGGTTGTGTTTGGTAGAAATTCTTTTTATTTTTTAAAAATATTTTAAGAAGATAGAGTTGAGTTTTCAACAAAAATCTCAAGAACAAATTTGATCGAAAACTTTAATAAACCATAAAAATCATTTTTTTAATTTTCATACAATTTGGAAAATATAAAATTATCATTCTTTTTTGAAAATTTTGAAAATTGAATCGACCAAATATGTTTTCAAGATTTTAATTTTCATTTGAAAAATTCTATAGAGAACTGGAAAAAATTTCACAATCAAACACACCCTAAATATCTCTAAGTTATATATTTCATACTCATTTAAAACAAATTGAGGTAAATGTGGTAAAATCACATAGAATGGTGTCGGCCTGACAATCGTATCGTGTTTGGGTTGGCGTGTCGCGGGTTGACGGGTTGGCGGGTCAAAATATGTCAACCCACACACGACCCATTTAAATTTACAGGTCAGGGGTTGGCGGGTTTGGAACATAAACCCACATATGACCCACCGACCCATTCATTTATATGGGTTTACAGTTTGTCGGTTTCGTGGGTCAGATTTGGGTTCATGGGTCTGAATTTTAGACATTTAAGTCTTAAACGTCCAAATGAAAATTAAAAACATTCATAGAAACATGTTATAGACTTAGCCTGATAGGTCACGACTTACGACCTTAGACCATCCATCACGAGTCAAAATGTCAAAATAGTCAAATGGTCTATGAATCAATGGTATATATTATATAATACCTATTAAATATTAATACTTGATACATAAATACATTTAAAAATAAAATATTTTTTTTATTAAGAATATAAACGGGTTGGCAGGTCAACCCATTTATTTTTTTGAGAAACTCATATATGACTCGTTTAATAAACGGGTTGGCGGGTTAGCGGGTTGAAAAACTCAACCCAAACTCATTTATTTCGTGTCGTGTCGTGTGTCGTGTCGAGAATTGTCAGCCCTAAAATGGTGTGTTTGTAATCCATTTAAACACTTTGTAACTTTATTTCACAAAGATCATATTTTACTTTTCTTATATATATATATATATATATATATATATATATATATATATATATATATATATATATATATATATATATATATATATATATATTGTAACAGCCCGGATTTCCAGGTATCTTTTAATTTCATATTTTTGGTATTTTGTGAGGGGACTCGGCGAGTTGGAGGTCGAACTCGCCGAGTCGGGTCGCGGTTTTGGACGAAGGTACGCGTCTGGACTCGGCGAGTCCACGCTGTTTAATGAAACCCTAATTTTCCGGTCCTAAGCCCTATTTAAAGGACCTTATGGCCCTCCATTGCGGCCACCTTGATCCTTGAGTGCACCAAAGCAGTTGAGAGTCCTTGTGAGTGAGATAAGAGGCTATTTGTTCACCAATTTGTGTGTTATTGCAAGAAAGGAAGGAGAAGATCAAGCTAGAAGAGTTGGGGAGCTTGGATCTGCTTCTATTTCGTCAAGGGAAGCTTCTTGAGGTAATTTTCAGAGCTAATCTTCGTGTTTTGGTTGATATGTCAAATCTAGGGTTTCTTCTTGCCTTATTTGACTTGTATTTGAAGTGTGAAAGGTCCCATGGAGATATGGAACCTAGATCTGGACCTTAACAGGTCCAGAAGGCCCCAAATGATATGCTTTATGTCCATTATTTTGAGTTGGGGACTAGGGTTGCCATATTAGAGGTTATTTCCCTAAAGAGAGCCTTGTAAGTGTTGCATGGCAGCCAAGACTGAGACTTTACGTGATAAATGAGCTTGGGAAGGCCAGATCTATGTGTGTATGGAACAGATCTGACCGCAGAAGCAAGTTTTAGCTGATGCATGGCATGTACTCGCCGAGTCTGAAGAACAGACTCGATGAGTAGCTTGAAGATTGTCCTAAAAACCACCCAGTGAGTAGTCATGCCGAGTTATAGGTGACTCAGTGAGTCACAGAGAGTTAGAGAGGTGTTGACAGGTGGACCGAGTCGAGTTGGGACTCGCCGAGTTGTCCTTGCGACTCGGCGAGTTGAGTCGTGGTGGCCCCGTGATTCATGACCAGGTGGAACTCGTTGAGTCGGGGGAGTACTCGACGTGTCAAAGGGAAATCCTTGCGAGTTGGTGAAAACGCGTAGACTCGCCGAGTCGCTCTAGTGCACTCGCCGAGTCTGGTCAAATTTACCGTTGACTGTTAACCAGAGTTGACCAGTGTTGACTTGATAGGGATGGTCAACCTTAGTGGTACAAGTATTAATTATAGATATGTGATGTTATAGGAGGATTATAGCTCGGGGATTCGAGCTCGAGTGATTTCCAGGGTTCGCGAGTTATCGAGATATACGAGGTGAGTCTTCTCACTATACTGTACCCGGAAGGGTTTGACTGTGTGACCGGAAGGTCGAATATGATATGAGATATATGCATTATGTGTGATAAGTTAATCGTTATATGTGCCATGTATGATATGCTTGATATGGACCGGAAGGCGTTATGTTTTGGGCCAGAAGGCGTTGTAAAATGGACCGTAAGATTGACGTGGGTAGGACCGGAAGGTTTACCCAGACGGGACGGAAGTCCCCTGGGACACATGGATTGGAAGGTCAGGGCCTGGAAAGGCGTATGTGCGTAGGTTGTATTTTGGGGAACTCACTAAGCATTTATGCTTACAGTTGTCGTGTTATGTGTTTCAGGTACTAGCGAGGACCGTGGGAAGGCGCCGACGTGATCGTACACACACTCAGGGGAAACTATTTTGCGATCTTTGTTATGTAATCGGTCGTGACAATATTGTTTACATTGGAACCTAAATTATTACTCGATGTTTTTGATGTTTGTAAAAATGAAAAAAAAAAATTGGTTTAAAATTTACGTCGTTATATATATATATATATATATATATATATATATATATATATATATATATATATATATATATATAATGAAATGAGAACACATAAAATGTTAAGAACGCGAGAACAGATCTTAACCTTCCAAATAGTAATATCTATGGTTATTAAAAATGTGTCATTTATATAAATTATGAAAGTTATGAGGTGAAATTAAAAATGCTAAAATGAACGTAAGGGCATTATTAGAATTACAATTTGTTTGACTTCCATAAAATTAGCCTATATTTAGAGGATATCTCCCTCATCTCTAATTAAATTAGGGCTCATCATAATCACATTCACCAATTTAATCATCATTTGTCTCCAAATCACCCCTTTCACCGTCTTCCCTGCTCCTCCACCATTTGTTACGCTTACTTCATCCCTTTATCTTCTACATTCTGTAATATCCCAAAATATAAGACCAAAAAATTCATTTTTAAATAAGTTATTATAAAACCAACAGTATAAGATAGCATCCATAATAATATGTCATGTCAGAACCTAAGTAGGAATAGTCAAAACATATTATCATAAAACAGTATCACAGTGTAATCCCAAAGATCTCATGTGCGGAAAACCATAGTGTGACGCGCTGCGATCGAGCCGACTCCTTTTCATTTGAAAACGAAGTACCTGAAACCAAAACTAAAAACCGCAAGCACAAAGTTTAGTGAGTTCCCCCATCATACCACATACCATATAATCACATAAAATACATATATTGTCAGTCATATCTGGGTGCCCGGCCTACCCCTTCGGTCCTCTCGACCGGATACTGGCTAACATATCTGAGTGTTGGCCTCCCCTTCGGTCCTCTCGACCGGATACTGACTAGCATATATAGGTGTGGGTCTCCCCTTCGGTCCTCTCGACCGGATACTAGGGACTATTTCACCCCTACTACTACCATATAACACATCATATAATCTATCTAGCATGGCTGGGCATGACTACCCCTTCGGCCCTATCGACCGGTACTCTGGGGACTATCTCCCCTACTGTTACTAGCACATAGCATCATATCATACTAGCACATAACATATCAGGTAGTAGCAAACCTAAATGAATATCACATAGACAATCATCTAATTATACAACTCCTACTGATGGGCCGACATTGTGGCCATAACCCCACATAGCTGAAGTATCGCAGACTTCACCCCAGCTGCTAGATGACAGATTCTCGAACTGTCAACACCAAAATAACACCCAATTAATAATTAGGTTCCAACACATAAACATAAATACATACTTGGGTAAATACTACTTTACCCCTAACTCAGCTTTATCCAAGCCCAAGGCCTAATCCAAAGGCGTAAAAGTTAACTATGAGTCAAAGCCCAACATATGACCCAATTTTCTAAATTGGGCCCAAACCCTTACAAGGTCTTACCATAAGGCCCAACCATTTAGTCCAGTCCAACATTGAACATTCTAACGACCCAATATCACATAATCATAAAGGCCTAAACTATGGCCTAATTTTCCAAATTGGGCCCAACTCTTCATATGGGCCTTACCACAAAGCCCATTAATTATTCTAGTCCATTTGCTTGATCTTGGATGGCCTATTTATAACCCAATCATCAAGGCCCAAATGAAAGGTCTAATAATAAATCCAAGTGAAATTAGGGTTTCACCTGAAATGATGATTAGGGTTAAGTTTCCTACTTAACCCATTAAGGACTTAATCCATTAAGTCCACTATCGCTTAGATTAATCTTGTCATTGTTTATTACTTAATATTTCAAGTTATTAAATAATTTTCATGTGTCCCGATTAATTCCCCAAATTAGGCTTTCATTGGCATTAAGGTTTTCCAATCCAAATATTAGCC